ATTTACGGTGTACGCGTGACCGCTGACAATGCACTCGCCGCCGTAGACAGACATCTACTTTAGCGTTATCCGCCGCAGATGCACCGGAGCATAGCCCCATTTTCCGCACCTTTTGCTACAATGTTGTTCGAGAGTGGGCGAAAATGCCAGCTGGGTATATAGTGAGCGGGAGTAACTGCGCGCACGAAAGACGACGTTGTCATGTACGGTGTATCGCAGCGCAATACGTCGCTCGCTCTCATAAACGTGATGCCGGAGCAGCGCGCGCTTGCATTGTGCCGCGCTCCCCGGCGCATGACGGCTCTCGTCAGGCGCCGCCGCTGCTGCTGCGTCAGCGCCGCGACACACAAACCTCCGCAGCTGGAACGCATCCTGCTACACAGCGGTGGCGTCAGGGGGGGTCGCTGGGCGGAGACGTTTCCGGATGGCCGGCCGACGGCCACCGTGTACTCACCTGGATGAAACCACTGCCATTAGTCCTCATAGCTTGGACCAATGATTAAAGCTCGACTCGCGCCCACTGCGCTTTTATGGGCATTACCAAGGAACGGCAATGAAACCTCGCAAAACGCCACAAGTCCCCAGACGATGTCGTATCTGACGGTGTCTCCGGTGTACAGTACGACACGGTGTACAGTACAGTCGACACGGTGTACAGTACAGTCGTATGTACACCGGTGTCTCCGGTGTACATACGACACCGGAGACGGTGTCTCCGGTGTCGTATCTGACGGTGTACAGTACTGAACAGCAACGAGCCAGAGACACGTGTGTGGGGGGGGGGGGGGGGGGGGGGGGGGGGTTAATGTATCGCATAGTCGCTGGGATGCCATGTTTGTCCTCTTTTTTTTTCTCTTCAGACTTTTCTTTCTAGCCCACTGCGTGCTAGCCGCGTCTTTCAGGACTGTAAATAAAGTTCCTCCGTCCATACAATGTTAAGTAGTATGCACGGATACTTGAACTTGTAATCATGTGGCTAGGAACGATAGTCGTAGCGATTCAGATATGGCCGCTTGGTTGAAAGGAATACAAGTTTGCCTGCGGCGTTGAGGCGCCTGGAGGCATGTAGTGGTGTATAGAAACGTCGTGGTGTTCATGGTCCTTGGAAGCAGCAAAAATATTACGCCTTGGTCCCCAAAACTAGACATCATCACGAGCAGTGTCAACGCAAGTCGCTTTTGTTTTCACGTCGGCAAGGTCATTCTCATACACTCGCTATTTTTGTACCAGGAAGTAACGTCGGAGGAAGCTGCATTCCGACGGTCATTAGCAGGAAGCAGTTAGCTCGACACCGACTTCAATGCCGCATGTAAAAATACACGGGAAACGCGGAAATGCTTTCACAAGACAACCACTGGACAGGATTAAACGAAATTTGCTGCACTTGGGTCAATAAGGTAAATTCTGTAGTGACGGTAGAGCGAAAAATTGTACTTAGAGACTTTGAAACAAATAAATACTAACCAAGATCCGCAGCTCTCTCAATGATGCACACACCACGAAGTTTGCGATACCGTTTATCAAAAATAGATATTGAATTTCTGAAACTGCGTCTGTGATACAGCGCTTTAATCTGATGAGTAAGTTGTGATAAATAAGTTTAAAGCTTACGTTAGGTTACAATGTTTAAGAAGATTTCGCAGATGTTATATTCTTGAACCAGCGAGATCGGCGTATAAATCAGCGATTAGATCCTTCTTATAGATTCATTGTCAATATATGGGCTATATTAATTTGATATAAGGTGTACCAAGCTAAAGCTTCATTTTCATTAGTCCAGTGAGATCCTGCGAAATCCTACAGAAATTCGAAAGGGCGAGTGTGCAAGAAGAGTAATTGTTAACAAACTGACAACGACTGCGCATTCTCGGCAATAAAAGCGCTTACATCACCGTTCGAACTTCCGAGCTCTTATGGAGTTATGTCGCGGTAGATGACTCCAACCATCGAGCTGCCCGAATTTTTAAATAACTTTCGCGACCGGTGACTTTTCTGTGCGCCAGCGCCATGACGGAGCCAAGTTCGAAAAAGGGCGAGGGTATGCCACAAAGCGCGCATCGCCACAAAACCGTCGTCTGCTATAGGTGGTTCCTTCTCCATAAGCCTATATCAACGCAGTTCAGACGGTCAGGCAGCGAGAGTAGGCGAATCGTTTTCCTCTCATTTTATATTCCGAATATTAACGTTGCAGCACACGCCCCCGCTGAGATAAATAGAACATGGTTCGACAGAACAATGCACGGTGCATGGGCGCGCTTTGTGAGCATGCCTCGCCCTGTACTGACGCACAGAAGAGTCAGCGCTGGTACAGGCTAGTGTACAGCGGAATTTATGCAGTGATACGTCAGGTGATACCACTTCGTTCTTTTGATTGATATGTGGAGTTTAACGTCCCAAAACCACTATATGATTATGAAAGACGCCGTAGTGGAGGGCTCCGGAAATTTCGACCACCTGGGGTTCTTTGACGTGCACCCAAATCTGAGCACACGGGCCTACAACATTTCCGCCTCCATCGGAAATGCAGCCGCCGCAGCCGGGATTCGAACCCGCGACCTGCGGGTCAGCAGCCGAGTACCTTAGCCACTAGACCACCGCGGCGGGGCCACTTCGTTCTTTTGCTCTACGTATATGTTTAAATGAACCCTTCAGTTAAATTAGTAAAAAAAAATGGCGGACCCTTAAGTTTCGCCTTTAAGAGTTGAACGCGATAGCGAAATCCAGCCCCAAGTGCGCCCTTCAACCGCTAAGTGAATACTTATTCAAATGTTTCATTCATTCATATGTTGGATTTAACGTCCCAAAACGACGCCGTAGTGGAGGGCTCCGGACATTTCGACCACCTGGGGTTCATTAACGTGCAGCCAAATCTGAGCACACGGGCCTACAACATTTCCGCCTCCATCGGAAATGCAGCCGCCGCAGCCGGGATTCGATCCCGCGACCTGCGGGTCTATTCAAATGTTTTGTTACATACACACACGCACACAGAAGATTGTACCAGCGCGCGCGAGCGCGAATGGTACATAATGATTTTTGATCTAAAGCAAGAGTCGCATGGCCTCCAAAACACACGCCACACGCTCGCCATCTCGGAGGCCATAAAGAGTCTCACAATGACTCCCAGATGGCAGCACATTATCTGACGTTTGCTGTTTGCTTGATCAACGCCTCTAAAAGGCACGACATGTTTTCCGCTAGATGAACATAGTTGTCCATGCTTAGAGCTGTTTGAAAGTTCCTGTGTGTTTTCAGCGGCGATGGCTGCACTATCTCGGCTTTTTTCGGCGTAGTTTGGTGGCCTCCCAAATACGCCTACAAATCGCCGAATAGGCTCGTTTTCGTTGTGACACCTGTCGAAAAAAAATTCGTTAAGGAAACTCCATCCACTCGCCTGAGTAGCTGCAAGTAACATTGTGGCTTTGTGCATGGTAGGGCACCTGCTTGCCACGTGAACGGCCCGGGTTCGGTCCTCAATGACACAGAAATTTTTATTCTTTGTTTTATTCGCTTCTTTCTTAACTTTTCGTTCACAACCAACAGTGCCGACGCCGGCGGCGGAATGATGGCATTACTGGCAAACCTTGCTGGTCTACAGGTGCTTTAAACCCTTCTAGACGCCTATCGAATAATGCAGATATTTTCGATGCCCTATAAGCTGAAGGTTATCTTCGTTTACGGGCAGCCGGCGCTGTCTAGCAAATAGTTGACGGTGAGCTTGTAATCAGTTGTAACTCGACTGGAATAGTACACTAACAACTAAACTGAATGGCCATAGTACTGTGGGGCTGGGTATTCGCTTGAAAGGGTTCAGTATGGCGTGCTCTTTCAACCGGTCAATACAAGGTTCATGGCGTCTGCTTTCGTATACAGTGAATACATAGAATTATTTGTTTTTTCTGCAAACATAATTGGCTCTAATGCATCGCTATGATGGCATGGTATGGTGGTCAGTACTTGTTACTCCGGGGGCTATCCTGAAGTCCGCGTAGAATTCAGCCTCATCCCCCCCCCCCCCCCCATCTTTTTTTAATAGCCGTAAAGGGGCTAATTTTGAATCTCGCGCTTAGAGGTAATGCATTTGAATTCGACATGGATAGAATGCTCAGGCGAACACCTCTCCTGTAGTATACTAGCCGTTTGTAGTGTGAGCAGTTTTTTTTTTTTTTGTCTTCCACCATATGCATAAAGCGTCAGATACCAGCCTTGTTCCAGCCTACTGGTCGTTGTAAAATTATTGCAAGGAGGAGGATGCTTATAGTGAAGCTTTATTTGTAACCATGGCTGTCGTCCCACCATACGCATTCATGTGGTGCGTGTATGTCTTTCTTCGTTCAGCATCTTTCTAATTTCGCTCCAAGTTTTTTGTGCATATGCAATACCAACTAACCTGCCTATTTGTCCTGTTGCCGATTAGGTCACGATTAAAACTAAAATTCATTCTCGGTGGTCGATCAAGTATATGGAGCCTCTGTCCTCCAACATTATGTACAACTAAGCTAATATACGCAGTTATTGACGTCTCCTTTTGTATTCTGCGATCTTTAATTATGAATCACATAGAAGAGTACGAAACGCGCCACGACTACCAGTGTGGCAGCTTGGGCTAGTTGGTATGGCATGGCGATAGTTATAGCGCGAGAACAAAACGACGACACAGAGACAATCGTGTCCTTCTTGTCTCTGTGTCGTCATTTTGTTCTCGCGCTATAACTATCGTCACGACTACCAGTGATTGTTAACAGACACCTGCGCTGCTGTATGATTGTGCACGGTTATCCCTTTTCGTTATCACAGTTAGTGGCGAATGCGTTGCCAGTGCAAAATGAAGCGCGAGTGATACAAAGTGAGTCGCCAGGTGTTCGAGTTATTCAACCACCGCGTGATCGGGGAGCGTCGAAACATTTTCAACGACGTTACAGTCTCATACGATCAAGACGCGTACTCGTTTTCTCCACGTCTACACTTCGGTCTGTTCGCTCATGGTGTCGTTCACGCAGGGCGGCTCTGCATTTGTCCGTGGACCTGGAGCAAAACACGATGCAGAGGCTGCTGCCGGAGACTCCCGAGGGCAACGCGGCAGCCGCCCTGTTTGTCGACGGCTTGGTGCCTCTCAAGGAATCCCCGGCTGCACGCGACAACAACGGCGAGCAAGCGTCGGGAAGTGGTGAAAACGGCACAGTCGCCGAGTTGTCGTCCCTGAGGGACGACGGCAGCATGTTCGCATGCACGTCTCGCGTGACGCACGCTCGACCACTGCGGGCCCGTACCGTGCAAGGCCTCTGGAAGGTGGTGGTCAACATGCACAGTCCGCATGGTCGCGGAGCCTTCCAGCAGATAGTGCGCACCGAAGAGTGCATGTGAGTCTGACCTTATACAGCTTCTTGCATGTTTTGTGAGATCGTGACTATGCAATGAAAGGACAGCACTTAAGTTTCCAGATACAGAGACGGCATTCGCCTTTCTATCATCGAGTGGCGACGTCTTGATTATGCGTAAGCCCCGTTTCACATGGTCGCAACGCTTACACTCCCCTGTTTTATGCTGGTTGAATTAGACTGCTGATAAAGCTGGCTTCACTAAAGTAATAACTTTGAAACAACAGAGAGGGAACGTGTGCTACGGCATGGCATTGGTCTTTTTTTAGAGAGAGAGGGGGGGATGGAGTAGAACTGTCTTAATGGTTCGTTTCGTCATTGTTCCGTGATTAGTCACTGTACGAAGAAAAAGAGCGCAGCTTGTCCTAGTGGTACCAGACTGAAAGTCACAGCGGAGCTAATGTTTGACCTTGCTAAGTTTTGCTGGTATAGCCGAGTTTCTGCAATAGATGCCAAGATTTTGCTAGTATGGCTAGAGCTGTCTGTTCTTTGATTTCGGTCGGTTCTCCCCACTACGCACATGTCACGTGACTAGTTACGTGTGTTACGTAATTTAAGTCACGTCACTCGATGATACGGTATGTTACGTGATGTTTAGTCTCGTGAGTGGTGTTACCTGATGTTACGCGATTGTTAGTCGCGTGACTTATTTCCACGTGATGCCAAGTGATTTTGGTCCCGTGACTAGTTGTAACGTGGTGTTGCGTGATTTTTAGTCGCGTATAACGTACCCACTCATCATAGCCATTGAATTACACGCTCGACAAATCGGCGCATGTGTTGTGGGAGCGAAGCAGAAGAGGAAAACTCGAACACGTACGGGTTCGTGATAAGGATAATTTTTGTTTGCACTACCGGGCGCTCGTCCTCCTCTTTTGTGTTACTTGTCGGAAGTTTTTGCGCCTAGAAGTTCAATATTGCATTACCAACTAGCCAACAATCCCACAATTTATACTTCGCAACAAAAAGCTTAGAAATATCTGCTCTTAGAAGAAAATGGGAAACGTTCCATCAATTTTTTTCGTGTATTTACCCATATACAGACGAGAGCGGTACAATGGAGGAGTGGTGGAAGCCGTGTTGTGCTTTGAGGGCATCGAAATAAGTAATTATTGCGAATATATATATATATATATATAATATATATATATATATATATATAAGCATAGTTCTGATACACGTCTACAATTCATTCAGTCTGTAATTGGGGATGATAAAGTTTTCGTGGCTGGGGATGGCGAGCACACCCTCACTTCACCTCGACTCTCAAAAAATGTCTTCTTTGAAAGTGTCATGGATAGAACGTCATAACCATACCCTTATTTCAGCGCGTGGCGCCTATACATCAGATATTTCACGGCATCATTCTCAATGTTGCGCCAATGCAACATCAGGTATGAGAAATGCTTATGTTTTGGTTTGTTTTGTATTGTTTTGTTTTTTGCCAGTAACCTGACTGATGGCGAGCACCCAGCCTTTCGATAGTCGTTTAGAAAGGCGGCCAGAAAAGGCATTAAAAAAAAAACAGTGCACAAGCTATGTGCCCATTTGTCGATGGCCATATAGTGGTCAAGCACATATAGAGCCTCCCAGCGTGTACGCTGCCCACACTGACCTTTTAACACACCATAGCAGCAGACGGCTGCTGACTGTTTACCATGTGAGCTTTGAACGTTGCTTTGTACGGGAAGCAGGCTTCCCCGTCTGATGAATGCCGCATTCGCATGCAGGGAACCTGGCGGTGGCTGCAGCAACCTGGTGCAATCGTCTCGGTGCGTACAGAAGTACAATCTGCATCGGCTGGTGGTGTGGACGCGCCAGGAGGGCATCCACATGGACACCTTCCGGCTGCCGGTAGCTTGCTCCTGTTACGTGGGGAAAGCCGACAGGAAGGAGACGCAGCTGCTTCGAGGCCCCGGCAGGACCTAGCAAGAACCACCATGCCCTTCAGTACACTGCGTTGGTCACAACTGGTGCCGCACGGACGATGCGTGTCTACCAGCCTCTGTTTTGCAAATGAGTGCGTGACGACGTCCTGAAGTGCGTCGCCATTTCACGTCGAAGCCTGCGCTGCAGAATACGAGACAATTATTTTCTGTGAAAACCGGACACTGAGTGCGGCCGGCATAATGCTCTTCTTGTTTTCTACGTTATCTTTTTTTTTTCTACGGATGTGGGCGTAGAACTTGATACAGCGTTGGTTGACAACGTTCCGAACATGCAGACTCTAGGGGAGAGCCAGGCATAATACGTTTAATGTTTGAGTGCTGTTATTGCTTTTCCAAGACACGGCTAAAGATTGGCCGTCCCACTTTAACCCTTCTTGTCGCGACGGTCTGTCGCGGTGCACGAGATGTGACAACTGTGTTTCATTTGACCATCCACTTGGAGAGGAAGTCCTTGTATAACACCATGTGTGTATTTTCTTAGAGCTCTTATTGCAACATCGCGGCACGCAACGCTCGTACACCAGACGTTTTACAATTCTTGACTTGTTCGTAGCAGCGAGAACATAGCCAAGCTTCTGTGAGCATTTTTTGGTGGATATCTAGGATTCGTTCACCCATGCGATGATCAGACATCGGGCCGTTTTAACGTATCCGGAGGTGTAAAAGAAAAAAAAACAAAGGCTTAATGCTGCTAGCGTAACTGTTTCGAGTGCAATATTGAAAATCAATATAAAAAAAAGTTGGACAGCATTCAATAATACATTTACCCGCAACGTGACGAGAATATAATTATTTGCTAAGTAAAACACTTCACGAATTGGTCTATTTTGAACTTCCTTGCGACTGTCATGTATACATTGACTGACTCGTTAGTTCTTTCCATCTCATCATAATATTGCGATATACTTAGTTGATGTTTTCTGTATATTACTCTCGCGAGATGAGAGGGCAAAACTGGTAAATTTGTTGTTGTTTTTTTTTCTTTTCTGCACACGCCCAAATTGTGCGGTGTTCACTTCAATAGTTTTTTTTTTCTTTTTTTTCTGTCGCGCCATCTGACAGTTTTCAACAGTTCAAAACTGACGGGGAAGCCCTGTCGCATATATATTCAATTTAATCAACTTTATTATCCACTTAACAGCATTCCATTGCTGCTTCGTGCTTTTTTTTTCTCTTGTTTGTTTGCGTGCCGCCGCTGCTTCGACGTGCGCGCATCCAAATGCCTGAGCGGAGGCATCTCTACTTTCATGGCGATAAATTAAAAGGCAAATGTCAACTTCGCCACAGCTGGTTTTTTGTGCGTTATGTTAAGATGTTTTGTTTGCAATTTATACTGCGTGTCGTCTCGCGAAAGTTGGCGAGAAATAAAATCCACACGTGTTCTTCAGAATACGTTCCCTTGGCGTGATTTATTGCAGGACCATGCACTTGGAGCCTCCGAAAGTCACCGTTGCGCTTTTCCTTGGCGTGTAACGATTGTTAGTGAAAGGCCCGTGTGCACGGATGCCGCTATAGGATATATAGCATATGTTTGCTCGCTCGTTTGACGCGTTGTTTGTGTATGCCCCGCTGGTATGTAAACAACGCGTGCGCAGATGTGCAGGGAACGCAATGTCTGGAATAAAATTTAGTTTTATTTGTTTTTATTGTTGTTTTTTTGCACAGCTACCGTACATCAAAGATCACCGGAGGCCAATTTCACCAAAATGAGCGTGGAAATGATTTCACAAATAAGTGTTATTGAAATGTCCCAGGAGGTTTCGCGCGAAATTCTCGTATGTGAGCCATGTCATTAGGACACAGGTAAAGCCGTTCTTCTTTCTTTTTTTTCCTTCTTATTTCGTTCTCTTCTGGAATAATGGCGGGGTGGTGGTGGCCGTGAACATTTATTAACCTAACAGAGCGTTTGTATTAGAAACCAGCCCCTACTGGGTCAGCTCCATTACACTAAAAGGTGGAGCCCCTTGCCAGGAACCCGATTAGTCGTGTCACCTGTCCTGGCACGCCTGACCATGGCCGGCAGTTCCTGGCAGCCGGCAGAGCTGCCTCCCACTCCTGTCGGGTTGGATTGGGGTTTGGAAGTAACGAAGAATTGAGCTGGTATGCCCATACCACGTGGTAGGTGTCAGCCACCTCCACACATTACTGGCAGAGGCCGGTAAAAAAAAAAAGAGTCGGAGTGCTTAAGCACTGCTGGGTGCAGTATATCTTATTGGTGAATAGTAGAAAATACTCTCGTACACCTTCCTGATTTCTTTGCAGGGCGCAGGAGAGCGGCGGTGTCAGTCCCGGTAATGGGTAATTATCTCTCGAAAAGTCGAGAGGATCGTCGTCTTCTTGATCATCGGGATCATCGGTGGGCAAGGCAGTGACCCGGAGAATGAGTGCGCAGGCGATGGTAGCGTGTGTCACCTCTTTGCCTACCTGGCCCTGATGTCCGGGAGATTAGATTAGTGAACGAGGTAACCTACTCCCGGGCAGGATTTAAGAGTCTTGGCAGAGGTGACATACGTCCCAGTTCGAAATTTCGGCAGGCTCCTCTGGAGTCTGATAATATAATTTTGTAAGTGTCATGTGAGATAGCAAGCACTACGGCCACTTCTTCAGCATGAGTAGAACTGGGTGCGCGGAAGGAGAGACAATTTCACCTTACCGTCTTGGTGGACTATGGTGACCGTATACCAAGCCCCGCGGTAAGAGCCGGCGATGTCCGTGTAAAATACGTTTTGTTTAGAGCCCTACTGGCACTGGAGACCAAAAAGCCGTGGCGCCACTCGACGCGTGTGAGTTACGGGAAATATTGGCGGGGAGGGTTCGAACATGGATCACGCATTACTAATATTCGGGTACTCATGCCCGCTTCTCTGTGTGTAATTCCTGCCTGAGGTGTAGGCGATCTAAGTGTCGGCTCGAGGTCTGCACCAGGCGGGTGTACCGGTTTGTCAAGCCTCCCAGAGCTCCCCGTAGGTGTCCACGAACCACTCGCAAGTCTTGCGTTGGAAGTAGTGATCGGGAGAGGGCTCGCTTGACGATTTTGCGGATGAAAACCTCCAAAGAATCATCATACTTCCGTAAGTGCAGGTATGAAGTTGCGACGCGTGATAAAAGCATGTGCGGGACGAAGCGCATCCTTGCTTTTGAGATCTCCCCCCCCCCCCCTCCACTTGTTGGAAAGCCGGCGGAACATGCGGCACACCTTTTTTCCAACCTTACGGACTTCGTGAAGTGTTGTCACGGCCCTGCGGTGTTTGTGAATGTGGAGCCCAAGGACACAGATCTCCTGGGCTTCGCTAATAGGTCCGCTGCGCAAGGAAAAGTTAATGAACGAAGCGCGTTTCGGCGTGAGCCGAACGGGCATGGATTCAGACTTCTGTGCGGAACATTCGAAGCCGCGTAATGCCGCTAAATGGGCTGCGGTTGATGACGCCAAGGCTTTTACTCACGGTGTTTTTTTTTTTTGTCGTTGCAGTAGGGTAGTTTAGAATAATAATTTGAAATATATTTTTTTTCTGTTTAGCGTGTCTTTGGTAAAACTTACCCCTTAACAGGCCACCATGTAATCCTTTTTTTATAATAAAATCTTCTTACCAAGCGCTGAAACCCGGAAAATTATAGCACAGATACGAAAACCTTAAAAACCCCCGTCATCGTAACACGTGCGGTCGATGAATACCTCGTCGTGCATCCGCCGCGGCTGGGGTCGAACCCATGGTCTTCGGACCAGGAGCCGAGTGAATGCCAAGACTGCGGACGCACGCAGGCTGCACGCTTACGCCGACGAAACCTTAGTATTGATAGACTCATCATACAACGTGTAACAAGGACAGTTGACTGCGTTTAAGTAACAGTAAGTAATGGGGAAAAAAATTGCCAGTCTTGCTCGGAACACGCAGCACAGCTATAGTGAATGCTGGACGGGCTGCCTTCCTAGAGCCAGTTGTACACTGTCTTGGAGTATACATGTACAGATGCGAGATACTCACCATGCCATAACTAATCGAGAGAGAGAGAAACAAAAAAAGCTCTTTAATGAAGAAACAGAGAATTCTGCCGGCGTATGTAAGACTCCTACATACTCTGTATATGGGAAGGAAATTGACGACAAAAAGATAGGAGGAGGCAAACATCAGTAATGCCAATAAGCGTTATTTCGCGGAGAAGCATGGTACCCGCTTCTCCGCGAAAGGCATGTAAGGCATTATATGCACGTTGTCCTGCGGCTCACGACGAGCTGAGCTTTCTGCAGAGTGTTGGAAGCAACCAACGACCTACTCGTAGGACTACTTGAATTGTGTGACGCCTGGTTGCTACATGAATCTACTACGATGTAATAGTAGGTATGTTAACACCATGTCTTGCCCGAGATGACACCCCTATTGGGTGTTTTTGTGAAGGAGTTTAATGTAGCAGCGTGTTTTTGTGGTAGAATAATCTACGCCCCCGCACAAAGCCCAGGTTCAAATCCCGTTCAATTTTTTAAAATTCATTTGTTATTTCGTGAGAGAATGGTTACGTACACTAGAGGCAGCGGGGCCGGTAGTGGGCAACTACGACGCCACAATCGGCTCTTGTGAGCTCATAACAACTTTCTTCATATGCATACCTCCCACATGCATACGTCATAATATATATAACGGCCTAAACACCATCACTGACACCAGAGCCATGGCCCAGAGCACAGCTGCTTACCAATGGCTAGGTAAGTGGCGGGCGGTAGGAAAGAATAACGCGCACCACGGGTGGTATAACTTACCCTCGTGTACGTCATCACATGATCTGGAAAGGCGAGGTTAAGGGCATGTAACCTTACCCGCGCTACTAGAAGTGATGATGCTTTCTAGATGATAATAGCCATCAAGAGTGTTTCACGTGATAGTGGTTGCCGCCGGAGGCGGCGGACAACTGCACCACGGTTGTTGCAATCTGATAATAGCTTTCACTGTAAAATAACAAAGATCATGGTTATATGTAGATTGTGAGACGACGTCAATTATGAAAGAGCGACCGTCGTATTTTCGACACAGACGCGCGAGCCAGCAACCGAACACGCGGTGAGAGACTGCGATGATGATGATCACGATGATTTTTATGCGCAGGTGAAGATGATGAACTACAGTCACACTATTTCCCTATAGCTCCTACACGAAAGCGGTCAGCAAGACGCCCATAAGCGTACAAGCGCCGGATATAAGGCTGCAGGCGAGACACATGGACGATCTCGGTCCCGCGACGACACCGATCAGAAGCCGAAGTAACCGGAGCGACGCGATAATTGACGGTCGATGTTCGTTCAAGCACGGTGTAAGGACCCAGGTATCTGTGAATGAATGTGTGCGAACAGGTGCCCAGAGGAGCACTTTGTCGCCTTGGTAGAATTACACAACTCGACGTGTCGCATCACAACTAACTTTTCACTGGGCCTGAATGGTAGAGGTGTTGGCGTGGGCGATTGTGCGCGAGGGGTTGACACAGGCAGCAAACTCTTCCGGAAGGGACGCAGATGGGACAGAGGGCGTGGACAAGAAACTGGTGTCTAGAACAGATGGTGCACGGCCATACACAAGGAAAAATGGGCTGTAACTTGTAATGCGTTGAATGGCCGTGTTATAGGCGAACTTGATGAAAGGTAGTATTGTGTCTCAGTTTTTGGGATTGGGCTGGACATACATAGAGATCATGTCAGACAAAGTTCTGTGAAAACGCTCTGTGAGACCATTTGTTTGCAGATGATATGCCGAGGTGGTCTTGTGGATGGTGTCAGAGGCCTGTAGGACTTCAGCGAGCACATGAGAAAGAAATGTCTTGCCACGGTCACTCATGAGAACACAAGGGGCACCGCGGCGCAAGATAACGGCATGCAGAACAAAGTCGGCAACTTCGGAGGCAGCGCCAGAAGGAAGAGCTCCGTCTCAGCGTAGCGAGTAAGATGGTCTACGGCAGTAACAATCCAGCGGTGGCCGGCGGGGGTAAGCGGAATGGGTCAGTATAAGTCTATAGACCGACGAACTCGAAGGGAGCGAATTGGCACTGGAGAGGTTGTAGAGGGCCGGCGGGAAGAGATGTCGAATGTTTTGGGTGCTGACATAACGAACAGGAAGTGACGTACTTGGAAACACTAGTGGAGAGGCCAGGCCTGAAGCGGCGAGTCTTAATGCGATCGTAGGTTTTATGAAAATCGGAGTGGCCAGCCATCGGATCGTCATGAAAGGCTTCTAAAACTTAGAGTCGAAGTGAGCGAGGTATGACCGGGACCCACCGGCTACCGAGAGAATGGTCAATTTGCCGGAGTAGTGCCCCATCATGAAGTTTGAAACGCGTGAGTTGTCATCGTAAACGGCTGTTGGGAACACCGGACAAGCCGGTGAGCCGATCGATGATTGTACGGCAGTA